GTTCCTTGATCACAGGAAAAATAAAAAAAAAATTGTAAGTGGCATATTTTGGCAGCAGTAGGTCCGGGAAGTCTGGCAAAAAAGAGGCGCTGACTCCTCATGCATCCGAGGCAGTCTGCTCATATCCCCAGCTGTCAGGCAGGAGTGGCCACAAAGATATAATTACCTAATTATTTCAATGTCTCCGATTTATTTTTCTTCTTTTTCATTTTTTTCCTGTAATATTATTCAATAGTGTGTAGTATGATATATTTATATAATGTGTGAATCATCGCTGTACTTAAAATTATGTTGTGCATAATATTGATTCAATTATTGTGTTCATAAAACAATAAACAAATACTTTGTTGGTTATTACACTATATACACAGGTTATATACAAGTATCTGCATGTTTTGTTCATCATAACGAACCACTAAGTTGATATTGCGAGTCAAAAAGCAACGAGGTGTGGCCACCACATCTGCCAGTCAGCCTCTCACCGCCACTCCCTCAATGACTCCTCACCCGCCCACATCCTCCTCCCACCATACTGTTTTTGCTTTTATTCACTATATACAGACATTATATGTAAGTATCTACATGTTCTGTTCACCATAACTGTTCATCTAAGCTGGTAAAGTGCCCAAAGAGCATAGTGGTCACCCCTACCCAGCATGACAAATCATGCAGATGTCGCCACTTCCCTCACAAAAATGGCTTCTCCCAACACATCTTTTGCTGTTATTACACTATATATATATATATATATATATATATATATATATATATATATATATATATATATATATATATGGCTTCTCCCCACACTATATATATATTTTGCATATATATATATATACATATATATATACATATATATATATACATATATATATATATTACATATATATATATATATATATATATATATATATATATATATATATATATATATATATATATATATATATATATATATATATATATATATATATATATATATATATACATTATATATAAGTATCTACATTTGTGTTCACCATAATGAACCACTAAGTTGGTATGCTGAGTGGCAGTGGCAGCCCGCCACTGGCTGTCACTCCCACCCTCCCTCACCTCACCTGACTTTCCACCATTCTCCTCCCACCATACTGTTTTTGGTTTTATTCACTTGTGAATAAAATATCTGCAGGTTTCGTTCACCATTGCGAACCACTAAGCTGGTATAGTGAGTTCAGACAGTAAAAGGTGGTCACACAGAGTCAGCAGATAATGCTACTTCCCTCCCCACCAAGATATCTTCTCCCACTAGTAGGCATCCTTCAGTCTCTGCAGACTATGGAGTTGCGCTCTGGTTGCTCTCCAGGGCGCAAAGCCTGGGTTGGTCGATATGGAGGAGAAGCTGTTACCCATGCAGCTGGTCCCCCCTTCCCCCTCTCCACGTTACTGAAATTATCCAGTGGAAAGGCAAATGCCAATACATATGGTTCCAGCACTGTCGCAGGAGCTGCCAGAACGAGGTCGAAATTGACAATGAACTGCCTTAGGGGCTCTAACTCCGGATTTTTCCTCGAGGTCGACTCCTGAAGTCTTTCCCAAAAAAGAGGTATGACCGCAAGGAGCGGAGGTTTAGAATCAGGGTTTTCCTTCCCCTAGATGAGCTGCTTTCCCAGGCTTACGAGTCCCATCTACTCCCCCACCACAGCGCTAATTATCACAACAATCCTGCCATTATCTTAATATTGGCAATTTTTATCACAGTCAGGGGTATTCTGTAATACTATTATCACTAAATAATAGCATGTACTTGTATATTTTTACATTTCTAGGTGATGCTGTGGTCACAAGCTGAACAGCAGTGCTGTGAGCTCATGCTACGTGCTCCAGCTTTGGTGGCTCACTCAGTACTGAGGTCCTAACACCCGGGAATGTTGTCCATGTTTTTTTAAAAAATGGCTTCTGTTTACAAGAGCTTTGATGAAGGTGAAGTGAACGCCCGTGTATCCGCGGACTGTTTAAATATTGCATAGTACTCCAACACATCATATGATGTGATGCGCAATTTAACCCTTAAACTGTGCAACGCACCTGCAGGCCCTCGTCTGGTTTGCGCAACACGCCTCCGTGTATTTGTATTTTTCACGTTCCATTCAAAACTCCTGCGGCTACATGGGGTTCACACCAGCTTCCTCAGGGTTCTTGTAAACATACACCATCTTTAAAAAAATCGTGGGCCACATTCCCGGGTGTGAGATCGTCAGTACTGAGTGAGCAACCAAGGCTGGCGTACACAGCATGAGCTCACAGCACTGCTGTTCAGCTTGTGACCACAGCATCGCCCAATAATGTCAAAATATATATATGACTTGTATTATTTAGCCATGATAGTATTACAGAAGAGCCCGAGTGTGATAATGACTGTGTACAACGTTCAAATATCAGTGATTCAATGCTGTTCACGATGTTCACAGAGCTAGGCACAGCACCACAGCATTATTTCATCCATCTAGGAATCTTAAAACGACTTCCTAGGTTCCTTTACAAAATAAACTTACTAAATAAAATAAACTAAACCTCGATTCTCTCTCTCCCTCCCTGAGGGAGGGGGAGAGAGAATCGAGGTAGCCTTACTATGTGTGTGGGGGCAGCCATTCTTGTTTTGCTCACCATACTAGCTTAGTGGTTCACTATGGTGAACATATTTGTACATGAGTATATACAATGTGTGTATATAGTGTAAAAACAGCAACAGGAGTATGTTGGGAGGAGCTATTTTGGTGAGGGAGGTGACGTAATCGTAGCGTCGTCTGCTGGCTGCTGTGAGATTTTTCATGCAGTGTATGGTGGCCACTGTAAAGTTTGGACACAATTCCGGCTTACTTACATAGTTCTGGTGAATAAAACATGAAGATAGGTATACATTACATGTGTAAATAGTGTAATAAAAACAATAACAGTATGGTGGGAGGAGCAATGTTGGCGAATAAGATGTTGGAGGAGTGAGGGAGACACTGGATGTTGGAGGAGTGAGGGTGTGGCAGAACTCACGGAGTTCTGAGTATGTTGATGGTGAATGTATATAGTGTGTGATAGTGTATAGTGTGTAAGTAGATTGTATATATATACTTAAATTAGCATGATGCATGGGAAATATGTGCAACATATGTGTACATGTGTGTCATGCACATAAGTGTCTTTGGACAGTACAGATGTTCTACCTCCATAATACTGTGTATGTGTTCATTATACATAGGATTGGCACAAAAAAACAAATAAAATGTATTTAGAACTGTGCCCAAAAAATGAACAAAAATATATTCTCAGCAACTTGCACATCCTGCCCCGGGCGCCCTACCGGCCCCGGGGGCGTACGCCACAGGCGACCAGGGAATGACGACGTCACGCGTGAACTTAAGGACCCCATAGCAGCCAAAGTTCGTACAATTTCGACCTTCTGTTACCATACACATACTCAGGGAAAGGTTTTTGACACTTTGAAAACAAAAGATAATTTTTTCCAGATAATTTATTTCCTGCGCACTGGGGGCTGTCATATTTGGAAACCAAGCAGTTGAGGGTAAGAGTTAAGAAAATGTGTGAAGTATGGGAAGAACTGCAAAGTTTTGTTGAAAAACTACTATCAACTCTGCCGGAGTAAAATATGTACATGGTGAGCACCATATAGCAAATTTAATTCAATGTGAATAAATGCTATGTTATCAAATGTGGAATATGGGAAAATAGCCCCACACAACTTACAAATTATGTGGAAAGGAATGAAAAAACTCTCCAAGAGCGAGAGAGATCCAAGGATCGTTCTGGATGGTAGACTTTCACCAGAGGAACACACACAGGTCATTGTGCAAGGAAGATATGCTATGTTTTCTGACTTCAAAATCTCTTAAATACATGGATGGTGAAATACTAAAAGATTCTGTTCATGACTTCTTTTGAGACCCAAATTGGAATATGCAGCAGTTGTATGGTTCTCACAGACGTGAGTAAACAGGCGTACTCACAGAAACCTACAGACGTCATGTTTGTTTCCTTGTTTTTGATTGTGGAGTTCTGTTTGCTAGTTCGACATTTGGTTTATATTTTTTGACCAGCAGTAGTTTGTTTTGAAATTCCTACCTTTCTGGGTGGCTGACCTGGTAGATGGCAGTCAAAGACTGCTTCCAATTACACGGGGTGTCTTTAGGCCATTGTGCCTCATGCCTCTTCTTGAGGAGGCCAGGTTCTGGCTCGGGTCCCGGTAAGCACAGAACTCCTATGATTGACTGTTGCCACGGTCTAATATATACTCATCAGCTCGGTATAGCTCTGGGGAGCTTCTGGGTCTCGCCCAGAAAATGGTGTTTCATTACATTCAATGCTGGTTTTATTGAATGGGTTTAACAAAAAAATATGCTTGCAGTTGCTTAATTTGGAGTTTTTTGGCTTTCAGGCAGGTTTTTTGTTCTTTATTCTGTGGTAATCTCTAATCCCCGGTGTTCCCTATGCCTCTTTGGAGGCCAGATTCAGATCCTTGTCACTTGTAGAAGGTCGTGGGGGTTCAGAGGCCTGGTGTGTTCTCAAGACTTAGTCATTATGAGGTTGTAACAAGAGACATTTCATTACATTCAATGCTGAGTTTTTATTTAATAAAATTTTTGTACTGGTATCTCAAAAATGTCATAATTCTGTACTTCAAAAGTACAGCACAGAAAAATTTGGTGTGATGCAGGTGGGTCTTGAAATATTTCGCTGTATGGGACAAATTACTTCTAATACTCCTAATGCTTTAATTTCAATATTCAGTTTATTCCTAATCATAGTTGCCTGAGACTCGGTAGATACATTGGTACTGTTGCAATAAGTTTTCATGGCTTGGCTTTGTTGCTCTATGTGTCACTTTTATTTTAATTGTTAGAGGTGTACTATGTTTTTTAAATATATAATTATGGTAGAGGATGGGAATACTCTATTAATGAGTGTCTTGATCTGTGGAGTGCTTACACACTACATGTTTATTACAGCCAGCAGCAAATGGTTGAAATTAATTTCCTGTGTGTACATAAGAAGCTACGGTCGAAACGCCTGGCACCTGTATTAATAAAGGAAATAACTAGAAGAGTTAATCTGACGGGAATATTTCAGGTAAGCTTCATTTTTCTAGTACTGTACAATATAATCAGGATAGCACAAATAAACAAAATTTATGCAGAAATAAATATGAAAAAGGATACAATATCATGAAATTAGGTTATGATAATAGGTGGATGAAAAGAAAATAATTTCAAGTGCCTTTGTGTACTACCAACCAATCCAGATTGTGTTCTTTCATAAATGCTTTATGGTACACTTATCATCTCACTTTCCATATAGTTATTTCCATAGGGACATGCATTTATACTGGTACACAATAATTATATTTAGAGTATACACTTGTACAGCATATGTAGTCACTGATCAACTGTTTGTTGTGAGACACCTCCTATGACCATAACATTCAATTAAAAATTCACAGTATTCATTTATTACACCATCTAGGGGCTTTTATACTGGTACTGGACGTTAGTAGTCATTGGCGAACATTTCTATACTAAAATGATGTAAATGTCTTGTTCTGGTCACACAACTGAGAAGTTACGAAGATTTTACGTCCACCATCTAGACGAGCATGAAGAGCCAATCTTACTTCTCCAACATTATTATAAATTCATTGTTCATCACTGCTTACACTAACCATTAACAGAACCTGTACGTGTTTTCTTGCATCCGAGTGGTAAACCTGGCCATGGATGATGACTCCTTAAACATGGAAGATGGTAAACCAATGAAAATATTAAAAGGCACATACTTGAGGCTTCAATTAACGGGCTGAAGTTTAAAAGAAAGTCAGATAAAGAACCTTATTTCCAATTCACACCGGTTGGGGAGGGGAACAGGAGAGCCAGTCAACCGAGCGGACAGCACACTGGACTTGTGATCCTGTGGTCCTGGGTTCGATCCCAGGCGCCGGCGAGAAACAATGGGCAGAGTTTCTTTCACCCTATGCCCCTGTTACCTAGCAGTAAAATGGGTACCTGGGTGTTAGTCAGCTGTCACGGGCTGCTTCCTGGGGGTGGAGGCCTGGTCGAGGACCGGGCTGCGGGGACACTAAAAAAAAAAAAAAAAGCCCCAAAATCATCTCAAGATAACCTCAAGATAACCACCAACTCGTTCAGTTGGCTTTGCCGGACTTACGAGCCTCCGAAAGTGAACCTCTTTGCGTCGGCGGGGTCGCAGCATCTCCCGTTATTTGTGGCGCCCTTCCCCGACTGTGATCCCCTTGGTGTCGATGCCTTCGGGCAGGACGGGATGAGGTGGGGGTTACCTATACCCCTCTTCTCCGGTTCGGCTGCTGCTCCAGGTCCTGGTTAGCTGGGAAACTTTCCAGGGGAGAGTTGTCCTTCTGGCTCCTTGGTGGCTGGCCCAGCCTTGGTTTCAGGCACTGCTTGCTCAGTGTCCGAACCTGAGGGTCTTCCTGCGGCTCTGCCTCTTTCAGCAGTACCGGGCTGGTTCGCTCTTCACCTTGAGTCTTCGCGTCTAGGCTTTGACTCGGGTCTGTCTTCACTTGTATGGTGTGCAGGTCGCTTCGTTGATGGTGTCCCACCTGCATGCTTCGTCTCGGCGGCAGTATGAAGTTTTCTGTCGGTCCTTCCGTTATTTCTTATCTTTGTGTAGGTGTACTTCTGTCTCGGATAGGGTTGTTTTGTCCTTCCCTTTGTGGTGGTTCCAGGACTGTAGTCTAATGCCGAATACTGTTGCCTCGTATTGTGTGGTGCTAGCAGAACCGCTGCAGTTTGCGTTCAGTATTGATGTTACTGCTGCTCTGTTCCGCAAGCTGTCTTGTGCATTGTTTCATCTCCGGCCAGCTCATGTACCGTCTGCTCTGTCCTGGTCGTTGGACTGAGTGCTATTCTTTCTCTTCTCGGTTTGTGGTGGCCCTTTCGGTTCAGGATTGTTTTTTTAAAGCTCTTTTTCTTGTTGGCATTGGCCTCTGGAGGTCGGGTCAGGTCGGGGAGCTTCATGCTTTCCTCCGGTGTAGGGGTTTCTGCTCTTTTGGTCCTTGTGGTAGGTTTGTTTGTTTGCTGCTGTCTCGTTCTTTTCTGGCAAAGAATGAGTCTGCTGCTTTCTGGAGTGGTCCTTGGGTTGTTGATGCTTGGTTGGTTGGTTAGACTGGGGGGTGCATTATGTGTTGTCATGTTTTGGCTCTTCACCGTTACCTGCACTCAATGGCCTCATTGGCCTGGGTTGTGCTATGGGTTGACCCGATTTTCCTTTTCCCCGTTTCAGTGTTTGGATCTCCCAGGTTGTTTGCAGGGTTATTCGGTCCAGCCAGCCTGTGGTCTATCCTCGTGCCCATGACATTCATAAGTATGCTGTGTTGGCTGCCATCCTTGGTGACATGTCTTTTTCTGACATTCGAGCACAGGGTTTTTTGGGGTTGAACAGGGTCCTGGCCGCTTGCTTCATGGTCAATGTTCCTGGACTTAGTCGGGCACGTGTCGCATTGGGTCGGCCGTTGCAGCCAGTTGTCTCAACTTCGAGTTGAGGAGCCAGTGGTAACCGCCTCCTGGGTAAGTCCCTTTTGTGATATCTTTGGGTAAGTAGCTCCGGGGAGCCGAAGAGGTTTTCAGTTTTCTGTGGGGAGCCAAAGAGGCTCCCCTCAGAATACAAGCGTTGAAAGTAATGAATTGCCATTTTCTGGGTGAGACCCGGAGGCTTCCCGGCAACCCTCACTCCCTCTGGTCGGCTGTGTATTCGCGTGTTTTGACATCCAGCCTCAGAACTGAAGGGTGGAAAGCTGGCATGGTGGTCTGGGGCTACCCCTTCCTTCACCCAAGGGGAGGGGAAGTTGCGCAGACAGCCGCACGGTGATGTGGTGACGTCATGCTCGTTTTAATTTGGGGAGTTCTGTCCACTAGTTCGGCTTTCAGTAGCAATATTTTAACCAGAACCGAGGGTTTATTTTTGGGCGCTTAGCTTTCTGAGTGCCAGACCCAGTCGATGGAAGACAATGCTTCCAACCACCTTCTCCTCCTTCCTCCTCTTTCCTCCTTCCTCCTCCCTCCCTCCTCCTCCTCCTCCTTCTTCTTCACCCTGACAGAAGTCTCTAGTAACACACTAGCAGCACTTCTCAACAGTCACACTACTGTCTCCTCGTAACTCTTCTTGGCCAAATTCCGGGTATGTCGGTCCATACAACACCATAAATTCAGCAGCTAACACACTGCTATAACTGCCGACTGCCACTTTGTCCTCTCGCAGGACCAAGTCAAGCGTTCTGGACTGCCCAAGGTAAACTGCCCTCCTCAGAGCAACCGCATCCTTACGTCATCTCTGTGAACATATGTCATTAGCTAGACAGACAGTATACTGGGTGACCTTAGGATAACACCCTTCAACCAGGGAATTTAAATTATACTTGCTTGCATAGCCTAGATGGCGTTAGTATCGTTACACCACCCGCCAGAGATCATCATCATCAACAACAACAACAACAACAACAACCCCCCTCTCTAACTGGTAGGAAACAGGAGCCTTTCACCGACGCCACACCGCCGCCAACAGATGGCGTTGTCTGCGTATCATCTAATACTTGGGAGTTGGAGTGCAGGTCCATAGATGGCACTGAAATCACCACTCCACACTCCAGCAACGGTTTCGATTCAGTAACAATATTCATATTCAAGGCAACTCTCGCCTGTCAGCTGGCCCAGGATGATCAGCCTGGGGGCACTTGGTTGTTGAACGCACATGAATTGTGATGTCATCACAAGACTTCCAGTCTTCATCACGGCCAAAGTCAGTCATACAATTTTTTTTTTTTGTCCTATGATCATTTTATCAATATTAGAAGGAAATTTTATTATTTTTTAAGTTTTTTTTATTTTATGCGCACCTGAGTGTTGCGTGATATAAAACGGGGATTAACCCATGGGCTTCACCACGCAGCCCATGGCTTGTAGGTGACATATTTTTGGCCATGATAGGCCGTGAAAGTCGGGCAATAAACATGCACTGAAAGAGTTCACGTCCGGGACTGGTCTCCAGCTGAGCTGTCAGGTGGGAGTTGCCACGAAGATATTATTACCTAATTGTTTCAATGGCTTTGATTTTCTCTGTTTTTTTTTTGTGTGTGTGTTTTTTTGTAGAAATATTATTCAATAGTCTGTAGTGTGATATATTTATATAATTAAATATGTGAAACATAGATATACTTAAAAGTGGTGTGCATATTAGCGATTCAATATTTTGTTCATAAAACAAAAAAAAAGAATGTTTTTGCTGTTTATTACAATGTATACACACACACACATATATATATATATATATATATAAACATGTGTATACATTGTAATAACAGCATAGTGGCCACGATACGCTGTATGACACAAGTCACACACCAGCCAGCAGACGACACCACCTCTCTCATCAACATTGCTTATCTAAGCATAATGTTTTTGCTGTTACCACACTATATACACACATGTTATACTGTATATAAATACATTTTTGTTCACCATAACAAACCACTAAGCTGGTATGGTGAGTCCAAACAATAATAGCGGCCACCACACTGAGTCGGCTGACAACGACACCTCCCTCACCAACATTGCTTCTCCTACCATACTACATGCATTGCCAATTCTCACCACAATGCTGCTGCTATCAGAATTCTGGTCACTGAATTCTGTAAATGAATAATTTTCCACAAGTGTACTTTGTAAAGGAACATGAGAAGTTGTCTAAGGATTTTTAGATGGACCGAACATGGCAGTGTGCTGTGGCTATCTGCCTAGTGCTGTGAACATCTTGAACAACATTGTGTTCACTGATATCTGAACATTGTACACAGTCTTTTATCACAGTCAGGCTGTTCTGTAATACAATCATTTCTAAACAATAACAGTTACATATATATTTTGACATTTTTAAGCAATGCTGTATTCACAAGCTGAACAGCAGGGCCGTTTAGGCTGCATGTGCTAGTATTGGTTGCTCACCGTAAGGGCGTGCCAGAGCATGAACTAGTAAGCTGTGAGTTCAAACTCACAAAACCCGTCCTTACTTTCTTATTTACAGTATAGATATATTACTTTAAATCAGGG